CTGCAGCCTGGGCAACAAGAGTGAAACTTCATCTTAAAACAAACAAACAACAACAACAACAAAAAGGTTATTGTGGACGTTTTTCTCTGATACTATGCCAAAATTCAACAAGTTATGATTTTTCTTTTTTTTGTTGTTGTTTTTTTGAGACGGGGTCTTGCTCTGTTGCCCAGGCTATAGTACAGTGTTGCAACCTCGGCTCACTGCAACCTCCACCTCCTGGGTTTAAGTGATTCTCCTGCCTCAGCCTCCCAAGTAGCTGGGAATACAGGCATGCACCACCATGCCCAGCTAATTTTTCTATTTTTAGTGGAGACAGGGTTTCACCATGTTAGCCAGGATGGTCTCTATCTCCTGATCTTGTGATCCACCCGCCTCAGCCTCCCAAAGTGCTGGGATTCGTGCCCAGCCAACAAAGGATGATTTCTTAAAGGTTACTTGCAATGTGGAATCTGAAACCACATCAGTAAACTTTCCATACTCTATTACATTAAAATTCATGAGTCTAGGCCAGGCACAGTGGCTCATGCCTATAATCCCAGCACTCTGGGAGGCCAAGGCAGGTGGATCACTTGAGGTCAGGAGTTTGAGACCAGCCTGGCCAACATGATGAAACCCCATCTCTACTAAAAATACAAAAAACAAGCAAACAAGCAAACAAAAAAATCAGTCTATTCTGCACTTTGGATCATTTGTCCAGGCATAATTTTGAACATCATTCACTGGTCACTTGGGAAATATTGGTTCATTGAATTATGTAGACCTTTTGAATGTTCACACATTTCATTATACATTTTTTAACCACACTTTTTAATATCCCCACCAATCTCATCAGAAAAGTCATTATGCTTTAAAAGACGTCAAATTTACAGAAATGAACATAAGATTGTTTTGTTTTTGTTTTTGTTTTTTTTGAGACGGAATCTCCAGCCTGGGCAACAAGAGTGAAACTCCATCTTCAAAAAAAAAGGTTGGGGGGGGCAATTCTAGGTGACATAGCCATTCTAAATGTGTACACAGCAACCAACAGAACTGCAAAATATGTGAAGAAAAACTGATAGAGAGAATATTAGACAGAAAATAAGGAAGGGTAGAGAGGAATGCAACACTATCATTAACCAACAGGAGCTGTCGACATGTATAGAACACTCCACCCAACAACAGCAGAATACACATTCTATTTAGGTGTCCATAGAACACATATCAAGACACACCATAAATGTGCTGTAAAACAAACCTCAACAAATTTAAAAGAATTGAAATCATACAGTGTGTTTTCAACCACAATGGAATCAATCCAAAAGTATATCAATAAAAGTATATCAATAATACACTTTTCTTCTTTTTTGTTTTTGGGATGGAATCTCGCTCTGTTGCCCAGGCTAGAGTGCAGTGGCGCCATCTCGGCTCACTGCAAGCTCCACTTCCTGGGCTCAAGCAATTTTCCTGCCTCAGTCTCCCAAATAGCTGAGATTACAGGCACCCGCCACCATGTGTGGCTAATTTTTGTATTTTTAGTAGACAGGGTTTCCCCATGTTGGCCAGGCTGGTCTCAAACTCCTGACTTCAAGTGATCTGCCTGCCTTGGCCTCTCAAAGTGTTGGAATTACAGGCATGAGCCACCACGCCTGGCCCTACATAATCTCTTCTATAAAATAGAAGAAAACGTTTCCTAATTCATTTTATGGAGTTAGTGTTATCCTGATACAAAAACTAGACAAAGGTAATATGAAAAAGAAAACTACAGACCATTATCTCTCATGAACTTCGATGTGAAAATTCTCAACAAAACATCAACAAACCTATTCCAGCAATGTATAAAAAAAGTATATACACTATCATCAAGTGGGATTTATTTCAGGTAAGCAAGGCTGGTTCAACATTTTGGACACAGTATAATCCACCATATCAATAAGCTAAAGAAGAAACATTATATGATCAAATTAATTGATGCAGAAAAATCATTAGACAAAATTAAACATTCATTATAAAAATAGGAATAAAGGAAGATTTTCCCAACTTTATAATGAGCATCTGCAGACCTATAGTCGCATTATTCTTCATGGTGAAAGAATGAATGCTTTCCCCCTAAGAGCAAGAACAAAGCAAGATGTCCTTTCTCACTACTCTTATTCAGCACAGTGCTAGAGGTTTTCAATTAATGGTGGTCTTATGTTGATGTATCTTGGATGTGATTGGATGGCCATAGTTAAGATAGAACACTTGGAAATTGTCCAATACAGAGGAACTGCACGTGGTGCATTTAGGGAACCCATGGAGGGAGAACCTTCCACAGAGCCCACATCTCCCGCCATTTGTCTGTTTTAAGGGAATTTGCCTGGAATGCAGGGTGCACCTGTAGCACCTGGAAACCCACAGGCTCCAAGAGCCCCAGGCTGATGTTCAGACTAATGGAAGCAGAGCTGAAATGACTTCCTGCCCCATGGGGTTATTGCAGCCATGATTGTGGCCATATATGGATATACTCATATCCAGCCCCTTAAAGGTAAGTGTTATTACTTTCCAGATTTACTATTTCCTTAATGATATAATATGTAATCTATTTCAAAGATGAAACATTCTAGATACCTCAAATCATTTTAAAAATCAGATTAGATTTAAATAAATTTCAAAAATTAACAAATAGGCCAGGTACAGTGGCTCCCAGCTGTAATCCCAGCACTTCGGAAGGCCAAGGTGGTCAGATCACTTGAGGTCATCTCGTAGCTCCCATAATTCCCACGTTGTGGGAGGGACCCAGTGGGACATAATTGAACCATGGGGGTGGGTCTTTCCAGTGCTGTTCTTCTGATAGTGAATAACTCTCATGAGATCTGATGGTTTCAAAAATGGGAATTTCCCTGCACAAACTCTCTCTTTGCCTGCTGCCATCCATGTAAGATGTGGACTTGCTCCTCCTTGCCTTCCACCATGATTGTGAGGCCTCACCAGACATACAGAACTGTAAGGCCATTAAACCTCTTTCTTTTGTAAATTTCCCAGTCTCAGGTATGCCTTTATCAGTGGCATGAAAACAGACAAATACAATAAATTGGTACCAGGAATGGGGCATTGCTGAAAAGATATCCCAAAATTGGCTAGGCATGGTGGCTCACACCTGTAATCCCAGCACTTTGGGAAGCCAAGGCAGGCAGATCACCTGAGGTCGGGAGTTCAAGACCAGCCTGACCAACATGGAGAAACACCATCTCTACTACAAATACAAACTTAGCCAGGCATGGTGGCATATGCCTGTAATTCCAGCTACTTGGGAGGCTGAGACAAGAGAGTCACTTGAACCCAAGAGGCAGAGGTTGTGGTGAGCCGAGATCATGCCATTGCATTCCAGCCTGGGCAACAAGAGCCAAACTTCATCTCAAAAAAAAAAAAAGATACCCCAAAATGTGGAAGCAACTTTGGAACTAGGTAACAGGCAGGGGTTGGAACAGTTTGGAGGGCTCAGAAGAAGACAGGAAAATGTTGGAAAGTTTGGAACTTCCTAGAGATTTGTTGACTGGCTTTGGCAAAAATGCTGATAGTGATATGAACAATAAGGTCCAGGCTGAGGTGGTCTCAGATGAAGATGAGGATGGGAACTGGAGCAAAGGTGACTCTAGTTATGTTTTAGCAGAGACTGGCAGCATTTTCCCCTGCCCTAGAGATTTGTGAAACTTTGAACTTGAGAGAGATGATTTAGGGTATCTGGAAAAATAAATTTCTAAGCAGCAAAGCATTCAAGTGATGACTTGGGCGCTCTTAAAAGCATTCAGTTTTAAAAGGGAAGTAGCATAAAAGTTTGGAAAATTTGCAGTCTGACAATGAGATAAAAAAGAAAGAACATTTTCTGAGGAGAAATTCAAGCTGGCTGCAGAAATTTGCCTAAGTAACGAGGAGCCAAATGTTAATCACCAAGACAATGGGGAAAATGTCTCCAGGGCATATCAGAGGTCTTCACCACAGGCCCTCCTATCACAGGCCCAGAGGCCTGGGAGAAAATGGTTTCGTGGGCTGGGCCCAGGGTCCCTGTGCTGTGCGCAGCCTAGGGACTTGGTGTCCTGCGTCCCAGCCACTCCAGCCATGACTAAAAGGGGCCAAGGTACAGCTCAGGCTGTTGCTTCCGACAGTGGAAGCCCCAAGCCTTGGCAGATTCCATGTGATGTTGAGCCTATGGGTGCACAGAAGTCAAGAATTAAGGTTTGGGAAACTTCACGTTGAGGTGTGTGTGTGTGTGTGTGTGTGTGTGTGTGTGTGTGTGTATTTTTTTTTTTTTTTTGAGATGGAGTTTCCCTCTTGTTGCCCAGGCTGGATGGAGTGCAATAACTTGATTTCGGCTCACCGCAACCTCTGCCTCCCAGGTTCAAGTGATTCTCCTGCCTCAGCCTCCCGAGTAGCTGGGATTACAGGCGTGTGCCACCATGCCCGGCTAATTTTATATTTTTAGTAGAGACGGGGTTTCTCCATGTTGGTCAGGCTAGTCTCAAACTCCCGACCTCAGGTAATCCACCCGCCTTGGCCTCCCAAAGTGCTAGGATTACAGGTGTGAGCCACCACGCCTGGCCTTTTTTTTTTTTTTTTTTTTTTAAAACCTTTGCCTAGATGTCAGAGGATGTATAAGAACGCCTGGGTGCTTAGGCAGAAGTTTGCTGCAGGGGCAGGGCCCTCATGGAGAACCTCTGCTGGGGTAGTGCAGAAGGGAAATGTGGGGTCAGAGCCCCCACACAGAGTCCCTACTGGGGGCACCACCTAGTGGAGCTGTGAGAAGAGGGCCACCATCCTTCAGACCCCAGAATGGTAGATCCACTAACGGCTTGCACCGTGCACCTGGAAAAGCCGCAGACAATGCCAGCCCGTGAAAGCAGCCAGGGGAGGGGCTATACCTGCAAAGCCACAGGGGCGGAGCTGTCCAAGGCCATGGGAGCCCACCTCTTGCATCAGTGTGACCTGGATAGGAGACATGGAGTCAAAGGAGATCATTTTGGAATTTTAAGATTTGCCTGCCAGTCGCGAGCGAACGAGCAAGAGGGTGTTCGACTGCTAGAGCCGAGCGAAGCGATGCCTAAATCAAAAGAACTTGTTTCTTCAAGCTCTTCTGGCAATGATTCTGACAGTGAGGTTGACAAAAAGTTAAAGAGGAAAAAGCAAGTTGCTCCAGAAAAACCTGTAAAAAAGCAAAAGTCAAGTGAAACTTCGAGAGCTCTGTCATCTTTTAAACAGAGTAGCAGCAACAGAGATGATAACATGTTTCAGATTGGGAAAATGAGGTACGTTAGCGTTCGAGATTTTAAAGGCAAAGTGCTAATTGATATTAGAGAATACTGGATGGATCCTGAAGGTGAAATGAAACCAGGAAGAAAAGGTATTTCTTTAAATCCAGAACAATGGAGCCAGCTGAAGGAACAGATTTCTGACATTGATGATGCAGTAAGAAAACTGTAAAATTCGAGCCGTATAAATAAAACCTGTACTGTTCTTTAAAAAAAAAAAAAAAAAAAAAGATTTGCCTGCCCTGCTGGATTTCAGTCTTGCATGGGCCTGTAGCCCCTCTGTTTTGGCTAATTTATTCCATTCAGAATGGCTATATTTACCCAATTCATGTACCCCCGTTGTATCTAGGAAGTAACTAACTTGCTTTTGATTTTACAGCCTCATAGGTGGAAGGGACTTGCCTTGTGTCAGATGAGATTTTGTACTGTGGACTTTTGAGTTAATGCTGAAATAAGACTTTAGGGATGGCTGGGTGCAGTGGCTCAAGTCTGTAATCCCAGCACTTTGAGAGGCTGAGGTGGTGGATCACGAGGTCAGGAGATCGAGATCATCCTGGCTAACATGGTGGAACCCCGTCTCTACTAAAAATACAAAAAATTAACCAGGCGTGGTGGCGGGTGTCTATAGTCCCAGCTACTCGGGAGGCTGAGGCAGGAGAATGGCGTGAACCCAGGAGGTGGAGCTTGCAGTGAGCAGAGACCATGCCACTGCACTCCAGCCTGGGAGACAGAGGGAGACTCTGTCTCAAAAAAAAAAAAAAAAAAAAAAAAAGAAAGACTTTAGGGGACTGTTGGGAAGGCATGATTGGTTTTGAAATATGAAGGCATGAGATTTGAGAGGGCCCAGGGGCAGAAAGATATGGTTTGGCTCTCTCTCACACCCATAGCTCCCATAATTCCCACGTGTTGTGGCAGGGATCTGGTGGGAGATAATTGAATCATGGGGGCGGGTCTTTCTTGTGCTGTTCTCGTGATACTGAATAAGTCTCACGAGATCTGATGGTTTTAAAAATGGGAGTTTCCCTGCACAAGCTCTCTGTTTCTCTTTGCCTGCTGCCATCGAAGTAAGATGTGACTTGCTCCTCCTTGCCTTCTGCCATGATTGTGAGGCCTCTCCAGTCATGTGGAACTATAAGTCCATTAAACCTCTTTCTTTTGTAAATTGTCCAGTTTCAGGTATGTCTTTATCAGCAGCGTGAAAACGGACTAATACAGATCAAGGGTTCAAGACCATTCTGGCCAATGTGGTGAAACCCTGTCTCTCCTAAAAAATACAAAATTCAGCCAGGCATGGTGGTGCGTGCCTGTAATCCCAGCTACTCAGGAGGTTGAGGCATGAGAATCACTTGAGCCTAAGAGGCAGAGGTTGCAATGAGACAAGATTGTATCACTGCACTCCAACCTGGGTGACAGAGCAAGGCTCTACTCAAAATGATAATAATAATAATAAATAATTAACAAATAGTCCCCTTGCCTCTCACAAATTAGACAGTACTGCCCAGAATGCCCTGCTGAAGAATTGTAACAGATAACCCTGTTCCTCCTTAACCTCTCTGTGCTTCATTTGCTCACCTGTAAAATAGTGATCATAGTAGTACCTATCTTGTGGTGATGCAGAGGATTAAAGAAACTAATTAGGGGGGCCAGGCACAGTGGCTCATGCCTGTAATCCCAGCACTTTGAGAGGCTGAGGTGGGCAGATTGCTTAAAGTCAGGAGTTCGAGACCAGCTTGGCCAACATGGTGAAACCCTGTCTCTACTTAAAAAAAAAAAAGACAAAAATTTGCCAGGCACCAGGCATTGTGGCAGGTGCCTGTAATCCCAGCTAGTCAGTTGGCTGAGGCAGGAGAATCGCTTGCACCCAGGAGGCGGATGTTATAGTGAGCTGAGAGCACACCACTGGACTCCAGACAGGGTGACAAAGCAAGAAAAAAAAAAAAAAAAAAAAAAAAAAAAAGCCAATTAAGGTGGAAGCACTTAGAACAGTGTTTGCACATAGTAGGCCTTCAGAAGTGCCCTAGCCTGTGACTTGCAGTTATTAGGGAGATCAGCCTTTCAGCAGGGCATGAAAGAGAAGGCTTTCTACCAATCCCACCCAGAAACCAGAAACAATTTGCCAATAGAGTGTTTGCTCCTCACTATCAAAGACTGATGAAAGGGGGTGTATTAGTCTGTTCTCGTGCTGCTAATAAAGACATACCTGAGACTGGGTAATGTATAAAGGAAAGAGGCTTAATTGACTAGCAGTTAAGGCTGGGTGCAGAGGCTCATGCCTGTAATCCCAACACTTTGGGAGGCCAAGGCAGGTGGATCACCTGAGGTCAGGAGTTCAAGACCAGCATGAATAATACAGTCAAACCCTGTCTCTACTAAAAACACAAAAATTAGCCAGGCATGGTAGTGGGCACATGTAGTCCTAGCTACTCAGGAAGCTGGGACAGGAAAATTGATTGAACCTGGGAGGCGGAGGTTGCAGTAAGCAGAGATGGCACCACTACACTCCAGCCTGGGTGACAGAGCAAGACTCCATCTCAAAAATAATAATAATAGGCCGGCCGCTGTGGCTCACACCTGTAATCCCAGTACTTTGGGAGCCCGAGGTGGGCGATCACAAGGTCAGGAGTTCGAGACCAGCCTGGCCAACATGGTGAAACCCTGTCTCTACTAAAAAATACAAAAATTAGCCAGGTGTGGTGGCGCATGCCTGTAATCCCAGCTACTCAGGAGGCTGAGGCAGGAGAATTACTTGAACCGGGGAGGGGGAGTTGCAGTGAGCCGAGATGGCGCCACTGCACTCCAGCCTGGGTGACAGAGCAAGACTCTGTTTCAAAAAGAAAGAAATAATAATAATTGACTCACAGTTCAGCATGGCTGGCAAGGCCTCAGGAAACTTACAATTATGGTGGAAGGGGAAGCAAATATGTCTTTCTTCACATGGCGGCAGGAGAGAAAACAAATGCCCAGCAAAGGGAGAAGCCCCTTATGAAAACACCAGATTTTGTGAGAACTAACTCACTATGGCAAGAACAGGATGGGAGAAACTACCCCCATGATTCAATTACCTCCCAATGGGTCCCTCCCACGACTCACGGAGATTGTGGGAACTACAATTCAAAATGAGATGTGGGTGGAGACACAGCCAAACCGTATCAAGGGGTATCGGAAAGAAAGTGAGCCGGAGATCACCCACTGGCCTGTATCATTTGCTCTGATTTCCATCACCTGCCTGGCCCCCTGAGGCATTTGAGTTTGTGACATATGGTATTTTGCTAATCATCTTCATTATGGAATTCACCACCACTTCAGCCAGACGGTAATGGTTTAATGGCTGAGAGAGAGCAATCCTGTCAGACGTAAAGGAATAAAGAAAAGACTTTAGCATTTTCCATCACTGTATGATAAGTCACTTATTTAAAGGTTTCATATGTGAAACCTCAAGGCTAAGTGGACAGGGGGCTGGGAGTGGATTTTAGGGGTTTTCATAGATACTTTTGTTAGAGTAGACAGCGAGTCAGACATGAGCAGGGTAAGAGAGCCCCCCACACAGACACACACACACACCAGGAATGTCAGGCAACCATCAGGTGATGGTCAGGTGGTTGTTAAACAGTCTCTCTAAAATTATTCACAACCAGTACCAGGGAAAGGCAGTCTTCCAATAGATAAAAACACCTGAAACTGGTGATCAGCAGCTTCCCAATAAGATCTTAGGAGTTGGGTAAGTGGGCTCAAGCACAAGCATTAAGAGGCAAAATGACGGAGTTTAACATACGTGGCCACCCTCTAGGGACATTTGACTGGTAAGGGAAGGACACCTCAAGTGAGCATGGGCACGACTCCAGAAAACACACCGTGTGTGCTCACCTCCCAAGTGCTAGCAGGCCGCTGCACATAAGCACAGCCCACCCCAAGGGAAGAATCAGGGGAGAAAGGATACAAGCCCCCAGAAGTCTGCCAGCATATAAAACCCCAAGTCAACAGGTCAAACCACACACTTGCCTTTCAAGTTGTCTGCCCTCTTCCAAGTGTACTTTTCTTCCTTTCCTTCCTGCTCTAAAGCTTTTTAATAAACTTTCACTCCTGCTCTAAAACTTTTTAATAAACTTTCACTCCTGCTCTAAAACTTGTCTGTCTCTCCTTCTGCCTCTTACCCTTCAGTTACATTCTTTCTCCTAAGGAGCAAGAACTGAGGTTGCTGCAGACCTGTATGGATTTGCCACTGGTAACATATTTTAGTGCTGTGTGACTCGGACGCTTTCCACCGCTAACATACTTCCTTTACCAGTCTACCATTCCTAGAGGAAGGTCATATAGAAGGTCATATACCAGTTAAACTCCACCACTTTGTCTCTCTTATGTATTTATTTTTATGTATTTATTATTTATTTATTTATTTATTTTTTGAGACAATATCTTGCTTTGTTGCCCAGGTTGGAGTACAGTGGCACAATCTTGGCTCACTGCAACCTCCACCTCCTGGGTTCAAGCAATTCTCCTGCCTCAGCGTCCTGAGTAGCTGGGATTACACTACAGTAGATGCGCCACCACACCCAGCTAATGTTTTTTTGTATTTTTAGTAGAGACGGGGTTTCACCATATTGGCCAGGCTGGTCTTGAACCCCTTACCTTACCTTGTGATCCGCCCACCTCAGCCTCCGAAAGTGCTGGGATTACAGGCTTGAGCCACCGTGTCCGGCCCATTTTGTCTCTTAATAAGCATGCTTGAGCCCACTTGCCCAACTCCTGAGATCTGACTGGGGAGCTGCTGATCACCAGTTTCAGGTGCTTTTATCTATTGAGAGACTGCCTTTCCCTGGCTCTGGCTGTGACCAATTATTATGTTAGAGATACCATTTAATAACCACCTGACCATCACCTGATGGCTGCCTGACATTCCTAGTGGTGGTTTGAGGAGGGGGACTCTCCTACCCTGCTCACGTCTGACTCGATACCTACTGTGACGCTTAGGGTTATCTGTTGTGCTGGTGTCTTTGGTGTGCCCACTTGATGTTCTCTCCACCTTACCCACCATGCCCTGTGCCCGGGACTACATCAGCAACAGGCTGACTTGCTCTCTGCTTTCGAGTTGGGTTCAGTTCAAGGTGGGGGCCGCTGGTGGGAGATGGAAGAACAAGAGAACAAGGTCAGGGTGCTTGTTTCCTATCAGGGTCACTTCAAACATCTATACTCAGTCAGGTGACCTTGCCCACACAGCTTTCCCTGACTCTGCATTCCTGTAACCAGTTCCTCTCATGGCCTCTGCAGGTGTAGGAATGGAAACAGAACCTGCTATGACAAGTCTTGAGTGTTGCCCAATCCATTGTGGAGGTAAACCTCACAGCGATAGCTTTGTAGAGTCCCCTTTTAAACTCTCCTTAAATATCTTCATTTAGCAATGCCATCTATTTCCTAGCACTCTGCCTGATGAATATATATGTGCTTTTCTCATAACTCCCTTTTGAACCAGCACCTGGGTAAAGTACAACTCTCTGTACCAAGAGCCAAGGTCAATAAGAATAGTAGTTTCAAACATCAGTCTGAAAACTCTCAAGTGTGCAAAAAATACAACTTTTTCTACTTTTCTTTTCCTTTTTTTTTTTTTTTTTTTTTGAGACGGAGTCTCGCTCTGTTGCCCAGGCTGGAATGCAGAGGCACAATCTTGGCATCTTGGCTCACTGCAACCTCTACCTCCCAGGTTCAAACAATTATCCTGCCTCAGCCTCCCGAGAAGCTGGGACTATAGGTGCACGCCGCCATGCCTGGCTAATCTTTTTGTATTTTAGTAAAAACGGGGTTTCATCATGTTGCCCAGGCTGATCTTGAACCCCTGAGCTAAGGCAAACCGCCCGCTTCGGCCTCCCAAAGTGCTGGAATTACAGGCCTGACCCACCGCACCTGGGCCAACTGTTTCTACTTTTTTAAACTCCGACTTAATTTCTCTTTCAGCCCCAATCCTCCAGGGTGATAGAAACATAAGTTAAATCAGCACAGGTTGCCCCCTAACAATTAAAATACAATTAATAGCCAGGCGCGGTGGCTCATGCCTGTAATCCCAGCACTTTGGGAGGCTGAGGCAGGCGGATCACCTGAGGTCAGGAATTCAAGACCAGCCTGACCCACATGGAGAAACCCTGTCTCTACCGAAAATAAGCTGGGCATGGTGACACATGCCTGTAATCCCAGCTACTTGGGAGACTGAGGCAGGAGAATCACTTGAACCCGGGAGGCAGAGGTTGCGGTGAGCCGAGATCGTGCAGTTGCACTCCAGCCTGGGCAACAAGAGTGAAACTCTGTCTCAAAATAAATAAATAAATTAATTAATTTAATACAATTAATAGGCATAAGAATAGAATGACACACTGGGAACTTAGGAACCAAGAGGAGGGACACCTAACCTAACCTCAGGGGAGAAAATAAAGACATGTCAGGGAACTTCCCAGAGAGTGTGATGTGTTTGAGATGAGACAAAACAATGAATCAAGTTAGCCAGACTTGAAAGGAAATGGCATGCTAGCGCAGGGCACAGCCTGAGCAAAGTCATAGAGGCAAGAAATAGCACAACGTGTAGGAGACTTAAAATTGGAACAATACAGAGAAAATTAGCATGGCCCCTACACTAAGATGACATGTAAATTCGTGAAGCATTCCAAAGCAAACAAATAATAAAAATATTTTTTAAAAAATAAATTCAGGCCAGGTGCGGTGACTCACACCTGTAATCCCAACACTTAGGGAGGCTGAGATGGGCGGATCACTTGAGGCCAGGAGTTCGACAGCAGCCTGGCCAACATGGTGAAAGCCCACCTCTACTAAAAAGTACAAAAATTAGCCAGGCATGATGGCACATACCTGTAATCCCAGCTACTCGGGAGAATGAGGCAGGGAGAATTGCTTGAACCCAGGAGGCAGAGGCTGCAGTGAGCCAAGATCGTGCCACTGAACTCCAGTCTGGGCGACAGAACGAGACATTTCTCAAAAAATAAAAATAAATAATAAACAAATAAATAAATAAATACATTCAGGCTTGGCATGGTGGCTCACGCCTGTAATCCCAGCACTTTGGGAGGCCGAAGTGGGAGGATTACTTGAGGTCAGGAGTTCGAGACCAGCCTGGCCAACATGGCGACACTCCATCTCCACTAAAAATACAAAAATTAGCCAGGTGTGGTGGTGCGCACCTATAATCCCAGCTCCTCAGGAGGCTGAGACACAAGAATCACTTGAACTCAGGAGGCAGAGGTTGCAGTGAGCCGAGACCACACCACTGAACTCCAGCCTAGGCAACAGAGTGAGACTCCAAGTCAAAAAAAAAAAAAAAATCAATGTTGTGGGAGTATAAGGTTCAAGGCAGGGAGAGGTGAGAGGCAAGGACTCTGTTTATAACAGGGGAAGGACTTTGAACTCTGTGTTATAGGTCAGTGGTCTACAAGGAGGGGTACACACAACCCATGTACAGAAGAAAGTTCACTGGAATACAGGAAGAAAATGTTACAGCTTCTATCTTGTGCTTTAACTTAAAAAAATTTTATGTATGTTTTGTAAGGTGTTTGTCCCCTCTAAAACTTGTGTTAGGATTTAATCCCTGCCGGAGATGGCAGCTCAGGCCTGTTATCCCAGCATTTTGGGAAGCCAAGGCAGGAGGACTGCTTGAGCCTAGGAGTTTAAGAATAGCCTGGGCAACATAGTGAGACCCCATCTTAGAAAAAATAACAAAAAGAAAAAGAAGAAATTTAATCCCCAGTGTGGCAATATTAAGAGATGGGCCTTTAAAAGGCGATGACTTACTGGGCTTGATGGCTCACGCCTGTAATCCTAGCACTTTGGGAGGCCGAGGTGGGTTGATCACCTGAGGTCAGGAGTTCAAGACCAGCCTGGTCAACACGGCAAAACCTCGTCTCTACTAAAAATACAAAAATTAGCTGGGCATGGTGGTGCACGCCTGTAATCCAAGCTACTTGGGAGGCTGAGGTAGGAGGATCACTTGAGCCTGGGAGGTGAAGGTTGCAGTGAACCGAGATTGTGCCACTGCACTCCCGGGGGGGAGACAGAGTGAGCTTCTGTCTCAAAAAAAAAAAAAAAAAAAAAAAAAATCACTTTCTTTATAAATTACCCACCTTCAGGTATTCTGTTATAAGCAACATAAAACAGACTAAGATAATATATTAATAATACCCTACTGCAGATACATAATATATTACTGCATTAGGGTATTACTACAGTATATTATTTTATATTACATAATAAACAAATACATTAGGCATATACTAAAATGAGTTAAGCCAGAATCAGCCAATTGACTTTGGTTTTGACCAAGAACTTGCTATAAACATCATTTCTGATGTCCCTGAACCTGGGTAATTCTATGAAAGAGTAGCTTACTATCTTTTTTTTTTTTTTCCTTTTTTTGAGACAGATTCTCACTCTGTCGCCCGGGGTAGAGTGCAGTGGCACGACCTCGGCTCACTGCAGCCTCCGTCTCCCCGGTTCAGCCAATTCTCCTGCCTCAACCTCCTGAGCAGCTGGGATTACAGGCGTGAGCCACCACACAGGCTAATTTTTTGTATTTTTAGTGGAGAAGGGGTTTCTCCATGTTGGCCAGGCTGGTCTCGAACTCGTGACCTCAAGTGATCCACCTGCCTCGGCCTCCCAAAAGTGCTGGGATTACAGGCGTGAACCACCTCAACCCAGCCGTGGCTTACTATCTAATCATGTAACAAGAACAATTATATAAAGTAGGCGTGTGATTTGGTCTCATTATTAGTATTAGAATATTTGTTTTCCAAAATGGTGAATATTCTTCAATGTAATTTGGAGTAAATGTTCTTTCTGTGTTTTTTATTTGTTCATTTGAGATGGAGTCTTGCTCCATAGCCCAGGCTGGAATGCAGCAGAATGATCTCAGCTCACTGCAAACTCCCATTCCAGGATTCAAGCAATTCTCCTGCCTCAGCCTCCCAAGTAGCTGCGACTACAGGCGCCCGACACCACTCCCAGCTGATATTTGTAGTTGTATTAGAGACAGGGTTGCACCACGTTGGCCAGGCTGGTCAGGAACTCCTGACCTCAAATGATCCGCTCACTTCAGCCTCCCAAAGTGCTGAGATTACAGGCTTGAGCCAAAGTACCAAGATGGCAAAAGAAAAAAATTAAAGACCAATATATTATAACAGATCACTTAGGCACAAAAAGCCTCAACAAAATGTTAGCAAATCTAATCAATGTATGAAAATGGTTATGGTTTGTTTATGGTATAAATAACCATAACCAAGTAGGATTTATTCTATATATGCAAGGCTGGTTCAGTATTTCAAAAAATAATCAGTATAATCCACCACATCAATAAGCTAAAGAAAAATCACATAACCATATCAACTGAAAAAAAGATTTAGCAAAATGTTCCAGCTACCCCAGAGGCTAAGGCAGGAGAACTGCTTGAGCCTAGGAAATTGAAAGTTCAGTGAGCTATGATCACACCACTGCACTCCAGCCTGGGTGACAGAGTAAAAAGACCCTGTCTCAAAATAAAATAAGATAAAATAAAAAAGTCTCAGCACACCAGGAATGAAAGGAATTTCCAAACTTGAGAAAGAGCATTGTTCCATGGCTCACAGATCTATGGTAAATCTGCCCCAAAGTCTGAGGAACCTGAGAGGCTGAAGAAAGAGGTGGATAAATCCAGCTTCTTAGACTCAGGGTATTTTTTTTTTTTTTTTTCCTGAGACAGAGTCTCGCTCTGTCACCCAGGCTGGAGTGCAGTGGCACGATCTCAGTTCACTGCAACTTCTGCCGCCCAGGTTCAAGCAATTCTCCTGCCTCAGCCTCCTGAGTAGCTGGGATCATAGGCATGCGCCACCACGCCTGGCTAATTTTCTTTTTTTCTTTTCTTTTTTTTTGAGACGAAGTTTGCTCTTGTTGCCCAGGCTGAAGTGCAATGGGGTGATCTCGGCTCACCGCAACCTCCGCCTGCCGGGTTCAAGTGATTCTCCTGCCTCAGCCTTCTGAGTAGTTGGGATTACAGGCATGCACCACCACACCCAGCTAATTTTTTGTATTTTTAGTAGAGATGGGGTTTCTCCACATTGGTCAAGCTGGTCTCAAACTCCCGACCTCAGGTGATCCACCTGCCTCGGCGTCCCAAAGTGCTGGGATTGCAGACGTGAACCACCGCACCTGGCAATTTTTGTATTTTTAGTAGAAACGGGGTTTCACCATTTTGGCCAGGCTGGTCTCAAATCCCTGACCTCAGGTGATCTGCCAGCCTCGGCCTCCCAAAGTGCTAAGATTACAGGGTGAGCCATCACGCCTGGCTGACTGAGGGCTTTTATATCATATGGGAGGGGTAGTTCAGAAGGGATGTGTATGACTTAAGGGCAGAATTTATGGTAAGTACCTGCTCTTACGAAAGGAACAGTATATAAACTGGAAATCATAGAGGCCTTTCCAGAACATGGATTAATCAAACGCCAACATAGTGGATTTGTTTCCAAAATGAATGTAGGCTTACAAAAAAAAACTTACAGCTAACATCATACTTTTAATGGTGAAAGACTGAATGTTTTCCCACTAAAATAGGATGTCCTCTCACGACTCTCATTCAACATAGTACTGAAAGTTTAATAAGAAAAAAAAGAAAAGAGAGAGAAAGAAAGAAAGAGAGAGAAAGAAAGAGAAAGAAGAAAGAAAGAAAGAAAGAAAGAAAGAAAGAAAGAAAGAAAGAAAGAAAGAAAGAAAGAAAGAAAGAAAGAAAGAGAAAGAAAGAAAGAGAAAGAAAAGAGAAAAAGAGGAGGGAAGGAAGGAAGGAAGGAAGGAGATAAAACTGTCCCAATTTGCAGATGATATGATTGTCTATCTAGAAAATTCCAAGGAATCTGCCAAAGAAATTCCTAGAACCAATAAATGGGTACAGCAAGGTCACAGACACAAAACCAACACAGAAAAATCAATTGCATTTCTATATGTTAATAATGAACATGTGGAAACTGAAATTAAAAGCACAATACTATGTACAATCACTCCAAAGAAAATTAAATACTTAGGTATAAACTTATAAAACATGTACAGGGCTGGGCTCAGTGGCTCACGCCTGTAATCTCAGCTCTTTTGGAGGCCAAGACGTGTGGATCACTTGAGATTATGAGTTCAAGACCAGTCTAGTAAAACTGGTAAAACTCCATCTCTACTAAAAATAAGCTGGGAGTGGTGGCACATGCCGTATTCCCAGCTACTTGGGTGGCTGAAGCAGAAGAATCACTTGAACCCAGGAAGCAGAGTAGCTGCAGTGAGCCAAGATCGTGCCACTGAACTCCAGCCTGGGCAACAGAGTGAGACTCTGTCCCAAAAAAGTATATACATAGATAAAATAAAACAGTACAGGATTTGTATCCTACAGATTACAAAATGCTGATGAAAGAAATTCTGAAAGACCTAAATAAATGGAGAGACATACCATGTTCATGGATTGGAAGACTCAAAATAACAAAGATGTTAATTCCCTCCAAAATTTCTCTACAGGTTTTATGCAATTCCTATAAGAATCCTAAAAAGGTTTCTTGCAGACATAGAGAAGCTTGTTCTAACATTTATATGGAAAGGCACAGGTCCTAGAATAGCTCAAACAATCTTGAAAAAGAAGAAACAGAAAAGAATCACTCTACCA